TCCTGAGAATTAGAGACAATATATGTAAAGTGTCTATCCCAGTACCTGAATACAGTATATGATCAATAAATTGAATCAACTACCATAAATGGGAAGAGAGTTGGACTAGATGACCAGCTCTCTGGATGACCAAAGGATTACATGACATCCCTATATAAGATTCCAACCTGTTAAAGATTTAAACTACTGAAAAGAATTTCCCCAATCACAAATAGGTGCTGAGTGCTTACTATGTGCAGAGCATGCTGTCTCAAGGAAAACTGTCCACAAATAATGAGGAACAGGAACTCAATCATCTAGCTTATACACTTGTATCGCTGTTTTTAAAGTTAAATAAATGGAAGCCACCTAAACGGCCCTACCCAGAAACCTCCTCCCCACAGAGTAACTGTGAATTAGGGTGAATATAACATGTAAATATGAGGCCTTTGTTGGAAGACAAGACAGGCTCAAGTCAGGAAACAGGAAAGGCAGAATTGGGAGAAATAACTCCAGACTGGAGACTGTTAGCTCAGGGAAGCTGTAGGTGGGGCTGAAGGAGTGGGCAGTTCTGGTCAGAGCTTAGGGACCGTCGGCTGAAAGATGGCGACCCCGTAACACCCTTTCCAGTGACCTGAGAGGTAGGAAAGCGGAGTACCTCCTGGACATGGGAGAGGGGATGGAAGCACCCGGACAAACCAGAGCAACGGACTATAGGGCAGAAATCAACAAACAGTTTTGATCATGAGCCTTTATCAGCCAGTGTTTAGCTGTTCCTCGTGCCCCAACATGTTATTTATAAATGACCTGCATGGACTCCATATTAAGTGTATGATACAGCCTTCACAGAGTACAGGCATTTAAAAGTTGTGACATGTTATTCTCTTGAAACAGAAGTTGTGACATGTTATCCTTAACCTGAATCAGTCTTCTGGTACACCCGACTTTAGAGAACACTGGGAGAGAGCAGGTGAACTTGTGTGGGAGAGAGGGGAGTATGGAGCTGTCACTCCCGGCATAGAACCTCAAAAGAAAAAACACCCTCTGCAGGACTCCTTTAGCTCTTCTTTGAAAGGGAACCCATGTCAGTAACTGGGCAGGAACAGTGCCAGATAAGAACTCAATCTCCCACCACTCACTCTCTCTCTCACTTCCAGCCCTCTACCTGGACTTTGGATTGCATTTTGCCCTGAAAGTTGCCATGGTGACAGCTGATGCCACTTGTGGAAGGTGTTCCACCATTAGGAAGCTTGGACCCTGTAATCTGGTAGAGACCATATCTATGGAAGAGTTTGGACTATACCAATGACAACTGTTTTCAACTTGAGGGAAAGGAAGCATTTTGCTTAGACTGTATATTCTAAATTTATTTGTTTTATTATTATTTGGGGGGGTAATTGGGTTTTTATTTACTTATTTTTAATTGAGGTACTGGGGAATCCAACCCAGGACCTTGTGCTTGCTAGGCACGCACTCTACCACTGAGCTATACCCTCCCCCTTAGGCTGTATATTCTAAAGCGAGGGATTGAACCTTATGGAGTTCTCTTCATAGAGAGCCGTGGTACAATTAAGCACTGGGTCCATACCGGGTTTTGTTTGTCTGTTTGGTTGGTTTTGGCTAAAAATGAGGCTAGCAAAAAATTATTTCCTCCCAAAACAGCTGGAGTATTAACAAATATCCTAGCATATTTTTTTTTTGCAGGTTTTACAAATCTGTCGTAATCCTTATTAGAAAACATCACATTTGCTGTGGAATTTTTATATATGCTTTATCTTATTACTATAGACAGAAACACAAATAAACCTACAGTTGGTCTATAAGAGCATCACCAGAGCAAACCATCAGGGCAAAAGCATTCGTCCTGCTTGCTACAGTTCCTATATATGATTGATTTTTGCAGCCAGGACACCTTAATACCCAAATGTTCAGAGCCTCCACAGAATTGCAATAAACATATTTGTGGCCTTAGTTTGACAAGATTCCAATTGGAAGAACTAGCTGGTTTCTGCCTCTAAACGCTGGCACTGGCTTTCCAATGTGATACCTGGTGACTCTTCTCTGTCAAGAACTTGGTAGTCAGTTCTGGTTACCTTAGAGATGCCTTATCTCCTGGGGCACCTTCAGGGAATGCAGCCAGCCCGCTGCTTCTATCTGTTTAGCCAAGCCCAGGGGACATGACTGGGGCTGTCACTGACAAGAGGGAGTTAGTTTTTGGAGTTAAAATAAATTATGAAACCCAGCCCGTGTAGGATAGGTGAACAGTATTTTGCATCTGAAAAACCTTAAGAAAAATTAATCCAATAGATTGGTAGTAATTGAGGAAAAGTCATATTGCTGGGTTTGGGCTTTTTTAAATAAGTTAGGTCAATTTTGCTGCTTTTGTAGTTCCTTTTGACTTGGCTTTGTCAAGGTTTAGCCAGAACACCTATCTTGGTTGGCACCAGAGAGCTTTCAGAAACACCACGTCATGACAGCAACTGATTTTAGGCCTCATGTGGGGTGGGCAATGGATAAGAAAAGAGAAAAGCAGAAATCACAAAGACTTTCTGAAAAACTCACAGGAATGTTACAACAGATTTTCTTGACTTCATAAAATACTGAGTGCTTTAAAGGACACAGTACCTTATTATAGCCAGTCTCACCACTCTTAGTCATAAAGATAAATGTTATTCTATCTAACCAGTTTTTTTACATCCATTTACAATCAATTCCATTATTTTACTTGATGTGAACTTTCTATTATATTCTCCCTGATTATGTAAGTGAGCTGATTATACAACTAAGAGGTTGGCAAATATGGGAATTATTATAAGATCAACATTTTTTTTTAAAGGCTACAGCTCAGGTTGTTTGTGGAGCAACAAAGAGAATATAAAAAAATCTTCTTCTGGTCTGCCCTGGATTCAGTTTTATTGATCCTAGGATTGATTTATAAATGTCTGAACCATAATTCCTTTTACAAATTAGCCTGGGTCCTTAGTCCAGATGTGAAAGGAAATTAGGCTTTGCTTTAAAACAACAAGGCTATAGACAGTGGCAAAACAAATTGCTAGAACAAAAATACTGGCTAAGTAACTACAACAGTATCTCATTTAATTAAAATCCATTAATCAGGAATTTGTGATAGTTCAGAAAGGCACAAGACCCAAGTGTACCTTTGGCCTAATGTGTAAGAGTTTGCTATATCAATAACTAGCGGAAAACATTTTTTTTTCTTTTTTGAAAGAGAAAGCTGAAACTTCTAAAGAGACTGTTTCTAGTAGCCTTAGGTAAATTTAGACATTTACAATACTAAATGATTTCTTAGTTATAAATAATTCTTATCCATAACTTCAGTCTTTCTGAGCCACCAATAAGTAAATCATCCTTGATCTAATTATAGGATTTGTTGTAGTGATTAAGGTAGCCTTTCATTTATAAAATGAAAATGAAAGCCTTTTCCTAAACCAGACTATCCTTTCCCTACTAGTTTCCTTTGAGCAAATCAGATTGTTGGATGTTCTGCTTTAAGTACATGAGATCTAGAAGCAGCCTGCTGGGGTCCAATCCCTCTCCTACCAAGAGGGCATTTTATTTGTGGTCCCAGTGCCTCCACTTCCTTATCTGCAAAATGGGAAAAATAATAATGCCTCAAAGATTTAAAACTGTAAAAGCACTTAGCATGGTGCCTGGTTCCTTAAAAGTTAGCTCTTGCTCCCATGACACTATCAGTGATGCAAGGCAAACTCAGTCACACCCTCAGGGCATCACTAAGAGAAACTTCTCTGAAATGTTAAACATTTTACAGGAGGCAGGCTCTTTTGCCCCTCTTTTCACAAGGCTCAGGGGCATATTTTCACACCGTAGTGCATCACAACCGTTTTCCATTCTTCAGTCTTCCTTTTTTCTGGCCTCCAGCCATCCAACCTAGCCTGCCAGGTACTTCTGCTTAATTATGCAAAAGCTTTTTTCAAGCCACTCCTCCCAGTCCCTACGAGTTTATCTCTGTTCTCTTTTCAGTTCAGGTTAGAATGCACCTCCTCCCTGAATCCTCCCTCTCAGCGCTCCCCGTTCTGATCACCTCTTGACTCGGGCACAGTTCTGCTTGGGAATCCCTTTTTAATAAATCTCACAACTCATTACAAGCTTTCTGAATCGCCTGGACTTCATCTGAATTTTATCATTAAAACGTGGAGCTTGAGCAGCCTGCCCTGAATGGTAGGACTTCGGGCTCCAAACAAGATTCCTAGTTAAAGACACAAGAACAGGAGTACGGGAGAGCTGCGGCCCCTGAGGGCTGGTGAGCGCGACCACAGGTCAGTTTAGAGGACGGTTCGTTTGTACAGGACAAGGACTAAGGGAGGTTAGTGACGCACCTGAATAAGTCCGCTAGACGAAAGGAGATTAATGCTTGACATGGTGCCGAGAGTGGGAACCGCGCGCGCGCAGGCGCGCGCGCACACACCCCGAAAGAAGGGCAGTCCCAGGTATCTGACAATGATATGGTCCCAAGCCAGACACGGCCTCAAAGCTCCCTCTCCCCTACCCCCGATTTCTGGAGCGCTCCGACCCCCTCCGGAGATTACTGTTAGCACATCTCTGCGCCCTGGCCCAGCTCCGGCTCGCCGGCCGCCCTCCCCCTACCACCCCCCTTACCCCAGAGACCGCAGCTCCCCGCCCCCCGCGAACGCGGCTCCCCCAGTGTCCTCTCGAAGCCCAAGTGGCTGTCGGGTTTCGAATCCGCGCGTCGACTCTCGCCCTCTGCGCGGGCTGCCGAGTCGCCGGCGGAGACTTTGGCCCCCGCATCTATCATTAACGGGCCAGCTCGGGCTTCTGCGACCCGAGGAGGGGGGATGGTACGGAACTCGAGACAGGGGACAACTCTATCCCACGAGGCGGCCACGAAACACTAGCCGGGGAGGCCCCCGCCCTCCCTCGGTGCGCACTTCCCTCCCTCCCTCTAGCGCCTCGGCTCCCACATCCCCGCCTCCCGCACCGGGGGCGGTGGCGGCG